CACACACACACACACACACACACACACTCCCAGGGGCTTGAGTAAAGCGACCCTAGACACAAATCAAGGTGTCCAGTCTATAAAAAAATCTAAGGATATCTACATGATTAAACAGAAGATCATTCTTTCAGGGCCATAACCAGAATTTTTTTGAAAGTTGAAGCTCATTTACTAGATTTCTATACAATAAAATAAAAAAAACTTTAAAATGCTTTTAGGAGAACAGCAACATAAAATACAAAATGACCCTAGCCATTATCACCTTGGCTGCTATGGGTTCATTCATCTCAGTTGATCTACAGTGCATTCGGAAAGTATTAAGACCCCTTGACTTTTTCCACATTTTGTTACGTTATAGCCTTATTCTAAAATGGATGAAATTGTTTTTTCCCTCATCAATCTACACACAATACCCAACAATGACCAAGGAAAAACAGGTTTTTCGATAAAAATATGATAAAAATATGACATTTACATAAGTATTTAGACCCTTTACTCAGTACCTTGTTGAAGCACCTTTGGCAGCGATTACAGCCTCGAGACTTCTTGGGTATGACGCTACAAATTTGGCACACCTCTCTATTTGGGGAGTTTCTCCCATTCTTCTCTGCAGATCCTCTCATGCTCTGTCAGGTTGGATGGGGAGTGTCGCTGCACAGCTATTTTCAGGTCTCTCCAGAGATGTTCGATCGGGTTCAAGTCCGGGCCACTCAAGGACATTCAGAGACTTGTTCCGAAGCCACTCCTGCGTTGTGTTGGCTGTGTGTTTAGGGTCGTTGTCCTGTTGGAAGGTGAACCTTTGTCCCAGTCTGAGGTCCTGAGCGCTCTGGAGCAGGTTTTCATCAAGGATCTCTCTATACTTTGCAACGTTCATCTTTCCCTCGATCCTGACTAGTCTCCCAGTCCCTGAAAAACATCCCCACAGCATGATGCTGCCACCACCATGCTTCACCATAGGGATGGTGCCAGGTTTCCTCCAAACGTGACGCTTGGCATTCAGGCCAAAGACTTAAATCTTCGTTTCATCAGACCAGAGAATCTTGTTTCCCATGGTCTGAGAGTCCTTTCGGTGCCTTTTGGCAAACTCCAAGCGGGCTGTCATGTGCCTTTTACTGAGGAGTGGCTTCCGTCTGGCCACTCTACCATAAAGGCCTGATTGGTGGAGTGCTGCAGAGATGGTTGTCCTTCTGGAAGTTTCTCCCATCTACACAGAGGAACTCTGGAGCTCTGTCAGTGACCATCATGTTTTTGGTCACCTCCCTGACCAAGGCACTTCTCCCCTGATTGCTCAGTTTGGCCGGACGGCCAGCTCTAGGAAGAGTCTTAGTGGTTCCAAACTTCTTCCATTTAAGAATGATGGAGGCCACTGTGTTCTTGGGGACCTTCAATGCTGCAGACATTTTTTGGTACTCTTCCCCAGATCTGTGCCTCGACACAATCCTGTCGCTGAGCTTTATGGACAATTTCTTCAACCTCATGGCTTGGTTTTTGCTCTGACATGCACTGTCAACCTGTGGTACCTTATATAGACAGGTGTGTACCTTTCCAAATCATGTCCAATCAATTGAATTTACCGCAGGTGGACTCCAATCAAGTTGTAGAAACATCTCAAGGATGATCAATGGAAACAGGATGCACCTGAGCTCAATTTCGAGTCTCATAGCAAAGGGTCTGAATACTTATGTAAATAAGGTATTTCTGTTCTTTAAAAAATAAATAAAAAATTGCAACATTTTCTAAAATCCTGTTTTTGCTTTATCATTATGGGGTATTGTGTGTAGATTGATGAGGAAAAATATTAATTTAATCAATTTTAGAATAAGGCTGTAGCATAACAAAATGTGGAAAACGTCAAGGGGTCTGAATACTTTCCGAATGCACTGTACAAACACATAGCCTATTAGCTATAGAATTGTAACGTTACACCCCTGAAAGGGGGGAAATATGAGAAATCATTCACACTGAGATGTAGCATCAGTGACTGTTCAGTCAGTTGTAATGATGAATTGCATAAACCATAAACTCTTTACACGGTATATGTTTTCTCAAATTACATTGGAGATTCCTAGGCATTACTAATCAAGCTCTGCACAAACAGACATCAATGGAGCACACAGATGATTTTATTATCACATTCACATGAATTATTACAATATTACTTACGATTCCTGTATTAATATCAGTGATGTGAAGCCTCAGCCTCAGTGAGCGCCACATCCCAGGCCGAGGGAGTTTGAAAGTTATTTTGTGTTTCTTCCATTTGTGAATAATCGCACCAACTGTTGTCACCTTCTCACCAAGCTGCTTGCCGATGGTCTTGTAGCCCATTCCAGCCTTGTGTAGGTCTACAATCTTGTCCCTGACATCCTTGGAGATCTCTTTGGCCTTGGCCATGGTGGAGAGTTTGGAATCTGATTGACTGATTGCTTCTGTGGACAGGTGTCTTTTATACAGGTAACAAGCTGAGATTAGGAGCACTCCCTTTAAGAGTGTGCTCCTAATCTCAGCTCGTTACCTGTATAAAAGACACCTGGGAGCCAGAAATCTTTCTGATTGTGAGGGGGTCAAATACTTATTTCCCTCATTAAAATGCAAATCAATTTATAACATTTTTGACGTGCGTTTTTCTGAATTTTGTTGTTGTTATTCTGTCTCTCACTGTTCAAATAAACCTACCATTACAATTATAGACTGATCATGTCGTTGTCAGTGGGCAAACGTACAAAATCAGCAGGGGATCAAATACATTTTTTCCCCTCACTGTATGTTTTTGCAGTTTGTTCTTTGTTATAGGGCCAAAAATATTGGATAAGTGGTTTACCCATACATCTCTGTTTTGGATAGATAACTCTTCGTGTTGTTGTTTGTTTAGTGTTTTCCCATTTTCCCAGAAGTGGTTAGAGTCTATGGATTCTTCAATTACATTGAGCTGATTTCTGACGTGCTGTTGCTTCTTTCTCCGTAGTGTATTTCTGTGTTGTTTTAGTGATTCACCATAGTGAAGGCGTAGGCTCAGGTTTTCTGGGTCTCTATGTTTTTGGTTGGATAGGTTTCTCAATTTCTTTCTTAGGTTTTTGCATTCTTCATCAAACCATTTGTCAATGTTGTTAATATTCTTAAGTTGTCTGCTTGAAAAAAAAAATTGATAGGGAAGCTGAGAGATCAAATATACTGTTAAGGTTTTCTACTGCCAAGTTTACACCTTCACTATTACAGTGAAATATTTTGTCCAGGAAATTGTCTAGAAGGGATTGAATTTGTTGTTGCCTAATTGTTTTTTGGTAGATTTCCATAATACATTCCTTCCACCTATAGCATTTCTTAATATTATTCAGTTCCTTTTGCTTTGATGCCTCATGATTGAGCATAGCTCTGTTCAAGTAGACTGTGATTTCGCTGTGATTTGATAGGGGTGTCAGTGGACTGACTGTGAACGCTCTGAGAGACTCTGGGTTGAGGTCTGTGATAAAGTAGTCTACAATACTACCGCCAAGAGATGAGCCATAGGTGTACCTACCATAGGAGTCCCCTCGAAGCCTACCATTGACTATGTACATACCCAGCGTGCGACAGAGCTGCAGGAGTCGTGACCCGTTTTTGTTGGTTATGTGTCTAGGGGGGCATATGGGGGAGGGAATGCTGTCACCTCCAGGTAGGTGTTTGTCCCCCTGTGTGCTGAGGGTGTCAGGTTCTTGTCCAGTTCTGGCATTTAGGTCGCCACAGACTAGTACATGTCCCTGGGCCTGGACATTTTTGATCTCCCCCTCTAGGATGGAGAAGCTGTCATCGTTAAAGTATGGGGATTCTATTGGGGGGATATAGGTAGCACACATGAGGACATTTTTCTCTGTTGAGATAATTTAATAGAGTGAGTTAGGTCTGCTGTATACCAAATTAGCATACCCCCTGAGTCCCTTCCCTGTTTCACACCTGGTAGTTTGGTGGATGGGACTACCAGCTCTCTGTAACCAGTGGGTCCATCTCCTCTATACCGTTTTTCTTGTAGGATGTATTTCCTATTTCTTTGACGAAGTCTGGGTTCCTGGTCTTTAGGCCAAAGGCAGATGACCTCAGACCTAGTATACTCTCTCCCTACCTTTTTTTCTCTCTCTCTCTCTCTCTCTCTCTCTCTCTCTCTCTCTCTCTCTCTCTCTATCTCGCTCTATCTCTCTCTCTCTATCTCTCTTTTCTCTCTCTCTCTCTCTTTCTCTCTCTCTCTCTCTTCTCTCTCTCTCTCTCTCTCTCTCTTCTCTCTTTTATCTCTCTGTTCATTGTCCCTTTCTGTCTGTTTTTATTGTTGCTTACTCCCAAAGAACGGTCACTTACACTCTTAGAAAAAAAGGTTCTATCTAGAACCTAAAATTGTTATTTGGCTGTCCCCGTACGAGAACCCTTTGAAGAACCATTTTTGGTTCCAGGTAGAACCCTTTTGGTTGTAGGTATAACCCTTTTGGGTTCCATGTAAAACCCTTTCCACAGAAGGTTCTACCTGGAACCAAAAAGGGTTCTACCTGGAGCCAAAAAGGGTTCTACCTGGAACCAAAAAGGGTTCTACCTGGAACCAAAAAGGGTTCTACCTGGAGCCAAAAAGGGTTCTACCTGGAACTAAAAAGGGTTCTACCTGGAGCCAAAAAGGGTTCTACCTGGAACCAAAAAGGGTTCTACCTGGAACCAAAAAGGGTTCTACCTGGAACCAAAAAGGGTTCTCCTATGGGGACAGCCGAAAACCCCTTTTGAAACCCTGTTTTCTAAGAGTGTAGAGTAAATTCCAAGTAAAAAGCAAATCGTTGTGAAAAGCAAAGCTGCTAAAAATCACAGTGGACTGCCTTGTTCGGTGTATGAGTTGAAGACTTGACAGTATGTACCTAAGTCACACGGTGTGTTTGTGGACTCATCTCCTCCTGTGTGTGACGTCACTAGAGTTTCCATTGTTACTGTGCAGCTGTGCACCAACCCCGACCACTCCCTCACTAAGTACAGAAACAGTCTGTACAGTCAAAATGGGTGGACACACACAAAGTCAGGGTGTGGACACACATCTGTGTTATTAGAACAGACCACAGACACCCAGCCTCTGATCCTGAGGCAACTTCACCTCCTCTCTCTCTCTCTTCTCTCCTCTCTCTCTCTCCCTCTCTCTCTCTCTCTCTCTCTATGTTCTCTCCTCTCTATCTCTCTCTCTCTCTCTCTCTCTCTCTTTCATCTCTCCACTCTTCTCTCTCTCTCTCTCTCTCTATCTCTCTCTCTTCTCTCCTCTCTCTCTCTATCCCTCTCTCTCTCTCTCTCTCTCTCTTCTCTCTCTCTCACCCCTCTCTCATATCGTGATTGTAGTTATGAAGTCAGTTATAAAGTGGTTGAGAATGTTACATCACTCAGGTGTGCTCACCTGAAGCCTGCATTATGTGGGTAGGAAAAGTGTTAGCTAGGAACCAGGTGGCTGCTGGGTGGTTGTCAGGTGGAGTGACCACTAGCTGAAGCTCATCATTATGGAGTGGGCTCTACTGTGCTACTGGTGATTTCTGAGTTTAGTCTAGTCACAGAGCTGCATGTGTTTAGTCTAGTCACAGAGCTGCATGTGTTCAGTCTAGTCACAGAGCTGCATGTGTTCAGTCTAGTCACAGAGCTGCATGTGTTTAGTCTAGTCACAGAGCTGCATGTGTTTAGTCTAGTCACAGAGCTGCATGGGTTTAGTCTAGTCACAGAGCTGCATGTGTTCAGTCTAGTCACAGAGCTGCATGTGTTTAGTCTAGTCACAGAGCTGCATGTGTTTAGTCTAGTCACAGAGCTGCATGTGTTCAGTCTAGTCACAGAGCTGCATGTGTTTAGTCTAGTCACAGAGCTGCATGTGTTCAGTCTAGTCACAGAGCTGCATGTGTTTAGTCTAGTCACAGAGCTGCATGTGTTTAGTCTAGTCACAGAGCTGCATGGGTTTAGTCTAGTCACAGAGCTGCATGTGTTTAGTCTAGTCACAGAGCTGCATGTGTTTAGTCCACTCCTTTGATTTCTGAGTTTAGTCTAGTCACAGAGCTGCATGTGTTTAGTCTAGTCACAGAGCTGCATGTGTTTAGTCTAGTCACAGAGCTGCATGTGTTTAGTCTAGTCACAGAGCTGCATGTGTTCAGCCTAGTCACAGAGCTGCATGTGTTTAGTCTAGTCACAGAGCTGCATGTGTTTAGTCTAGTCACAGAGCTGCATGTGTTTAGTCTAGTCACAGAGCTGCATGTGTTTAGCCTAGTCACAGAGCTGCATGTGTTTAGTCTAGTCACAGAGCTGCATGTGTTTAGTCTAGTCACAGAGCTGCATGTGTTTAGTCTAGTCACAGAGCTGCATGTGTTTAGTCTAGTCACAGAGCTGCATGTGTTCAGTCTAGTCACAGAGCTGCATGTGTTCAGCCTAGTCACAGAGCTGCATGTGTTTAGTCTAGTCACAGAGATGCATGTGTTTAGTCTAGTCACAGAGCTGCATGTGTTTAGCCTAGTCACAGAGCTGCATGTGTTTAGTCTAGTCACAGAGCTGCATGTGTTTAGTCTAGTCACAGAGCTGCATGTGTTCAGTCTAGTCACAGAGCTGCATGTGTTTAGCCTAGTCACAGAGCTGCATGTGTTTAGCCTAGTCACAGAGCTGCATGTGTTTAGTCTAGTCACAGAGCTGCATGTGTTTAGTCTAGTCACAGAGCTGCATGTGTTTAGTCCACTCCTTTGTAGTTAGTTAGTATAACAACAAGTAACTTCATCAAGAGGTTTTAGCCTCTTTCTTAATAGCTAAGGTCTTGAACTGACAGTCTCAGGTACCTGGGTCCATGTCCCATTTGAGTACCAGTGCACTGTTTAGGGAATAGGGTGCCGTTTGGGGCACATCCCTGGAGTTGAGCCCGGCGGTTGTCGAACAGTTTACTGATGTTACTGAGCAGGATGGAAAAATGTAGCCACAACTAGCTAATGCTAATCTGAGCCACTCGATAAACAACAGGCATAATAAAGTGCCTTGGGAAAGTATTCAATCCCCTTGACTTTTTCAACATTTTGATAAGTTACAGCCTTATTCTAAAATGGATAAAACTGTATTTTCCCCATCATCAATCTACACACAATACCCCATATTGAATAGAGCAAAAACAGGTTTTTAGAATTTTTTAGCAAATTTATTACAAAGAAAAAACTGAAAAATGACATTTACATACACTACCAGTCAAAAGTTTGGACACACCTACTCATTCAAGGTGTTATTTATTTATTTTTTGACAATTTTTTTACATTGTAGAATAATAGTGAAGACATCAAAACTATGAAATAACACATATGGAATCATGTAGTAAGCAAAAAAGTGTTAAACAAATCAAAATATATTTTATGTTTGAGATTCTTCAAATAGCCAGCCTTTGCCTTGATGACAGCTTTGCACACTCTTGGCATTCTCTCAACCAGCTTCACCTGGAATGCTTTTCCAACAGTCTTGAAGGAGATCCCACATATGCTAAGTTGTAGAAACATCTTAAGGAGGATCAATGGAAACAGGATGCACTTGAGCTCAATTTCGTGTCTCATAGCAAAGGGTCTGAATAATTACAGTATGTAAATAAGGTATTTCTGTTTTTTATTTGTTATAAATTTGCAAAAATTTCTAAAAACCTGTTTTCGCTTTGTCATTATTGGGTATTGTGTGTAGATTGATTAGTTTTTATTTATTTAATCCATTTTTGAATAAGGCTGTAAGATAACAAAATGTGGAAAAAGTCAATGGGTCTGAATACTTTCCGAATGCACTGTATATATCTAAAATCAAATCAAAGTTTATTGGTCGCGTGAACAGTTTTGTTGATGTTATCATAGGTGCAGTGAAACGCTTATGTTTCTGGCTCCAACAATGCAGAAGTATCTAGCAACACAATAACAATACACACATAATCCAAAAGTTAAAAAAGAAAGAACAAGAAATTAAGAAATATCAGAACAAGCAATATTCCGAGTCCGGAATTTAAATAAATAAATATATACATTTAATGGTGTGTATAGGCAGTATGGACGGTATATGAATAGAAAAGGTGCTTACGGCAGTAGTTATATAGGATAAGCTATGACTAGAATACAGTATATCACAAAACAAAAAACTAAGTTTTAAGTGAGAATAGGCATTGGTCTGAAGCCGAAAAATAAAGGAAATTCATGAGCACCACAATGCCTCCTCCACCCATGCTCCACCAAGGTACACCACAATGGCTACTCCACCCATGCTCCACCAAGGTTTTCCAGCACACAGCTTTGACCTACTACAGTAGCTATGTTGGTATTGTACTTCAAACTGTGTGCAGGCACCTGGTAGGGTCAGAGTTCCCTTCCTACCTGGTAGGGTCAGAGTTCCCTTCCTACCTGGTAGGGTCAGAGTTCCCTTCCTTCCTGGTAGGGTCAGAGTTCCCTTCCTACCTGGTAGGGTCAGAGTTCCCTTCCTTCCTGGTAGGGTCAGAGTTCCCTTCCTTCCTGGTAGGGTCAGTGTTCCCTTCCTTCCTGGTAGGGTCAGAGTTCCCTTCCTTCCTGGTAGGGTCAGGTTTAGGGCTGTTCCGGTGACCGTATTACCGCCACACCGGCAGTCATGAGTCATTCGCATAGGCCTATGAGCCCAAGCCCGAAAAAGAGTTAAAATAATAATTGTGCTGTTATCCAATACACAGCTTGATAGCCTAATTCATATTAGGCACGGCAGAAACACACTTTGGTACATAATTGGTCAGGTTGCTTAGGATTCAAACCTTCTCAAACAGGAAGGTAATTATGCAACATTATCATACAACATTATAATTAAGCAATAAGACCCGAGGGGGTGTGGTATATGGCCAATATACCACGGCTAAGGGCTGTTCTTACGTACGACGCAACGCGGAGAGCCTGGATACAGCCCTTAGCCGTGGTATATTGGCCATATACCACAAACCCCTGAGGTGTCTTATTGCTATTATAAACTGGTTACCAACGTAATTAGAGCAGTAAAAATAAACGTTTTGTCATACCCGTGGTATACGGTCTGATATACCACAGCTGTCAGCCAATCAGCATTCAGGGCTCGAACCACCCAGTTTATAATTTGTTTTTTAATTTCCATGGTTTTTACACCGGAAGACGATTATACAGCATTATAATAACACAGTAAAACAAGTTAAGTAAAAGTAAACAACAATGTCAAATGTCAACAGAAATAATGTAGTTGTTAGTATTTAGTTAATATTAACAGCTGATATTCCAGAGGGAAGCGAAAAACCAGAAACCCATTTAAGCCAATATGGAGTAAACTGGCCAAAAATTCCCTGATCTCTTTTAAGACAATCGAGCTCCTAGAAACTACACAAATAATCAACATGTACCCATTAACTATTTACATGTAAATGTACCTTATGGTTAACTGAAGAAAGGCCTAGTACTACGTTACCTGTAAACAAAGGTGAGTTATCACTAAATATAACATGTATAACCAAATGTACATTCATCAGATATAGTCAACTTTGTAAATACAATTCAGGGATGGCCACAATCGCTCTTGACAAGATACAGGTTTATGCAGGCTTTTTTTGTTCAAGGAAAGTTCTACCACAGCTGATTTCTTCTATTCATGGTCTCGATGAACAGGTGAGGTCTCGATGAACAGGTGAGGTCTCGATGAACAGGTGAGGTCTCGATGAACAGGTGAGGTCTCGATGAACAGGTGAGGTCTCGATGAACAGGTGAGGTCTTGATGAATAGGTGGGGTCTCGATGAACAGGTGAGGTCTCGATGAACAGGTGAGGTCTCGATGAACAGGTGAGGTCTCGATGAACAGGTGAGGTCTCGATGAACAGGTGAGGTCTCGATGAACAGGTGAGGTCTCGATGAACAGGTGAGGTCTTGATGAACAGCTGAGTAGTAGAATCAGATGTAGTAGCACTGGCCTTGAACAGAAAATCCTGCATAACGCAGTTGATCGGCAAGAGCAATTTTGATAACTCCTGATAAAAAACACTGCAACAAATTACACTTACATGTACGTCATTTAGCAGACGCTCTTATCCAGAGCGACTTACAAATAACAAACCTCTGAGAAAATACCTGTAAAATACAGTCATTAGACAAGCACAGAACTCTTAAGAAGAATTATAGACATATTTACAAAATCTGAAATTTGGATAGGTGCTCTAAAATCCTTCAATACAAAACTTCAGCTACAAATGTCGTAAGTAATGCCGTACACAGCTGTCCATCTCCAGTAAAAGAACACATATCATCATTTATAAATATGAAAACATTTGGGAATGCTCACAGATTTGGAACAGAACATACATGTTAAGTATTGACAGTGTGTAGTACCATGCGTGGGTCGGCATTAAGTCGTTTGTCAGTTCCACATGGGCCAGCTTGCATTTCTCCGTGACAGGCTCATTTCCCACAATCCGCCACTCTGCCATAAAGAACTGCCCCTAGGCAGTGCCGTAGGGATGGCGTGCATCTCATGGATGAGGGGCAACGACCTCTTCCTTCCTTGAGAGTCTGAGAGCTGGTCTCTCCTCCGTTCTAGCAAGACACACACAGTACCCACCACCACACTTACTACCACTTGCCTGGCCTCTCCATGAACCCAAAGGCTCTTTAAAGAGCCACGTAATAAATGCAAATAAGCACTGTGTGTCAAAACGATACACTAAAGAGAATTATCAAAATGTATCGTCTGAGAGGCAAACCCAGGACCTTCAGTTCCCAAGGCAGTAACACACTTGTGTTTTAAACATGTCAACTTGACACTCTATTTAACCTTTCACTGCAGTGGGCTAAATCAGGGTCACACAGTGTCTATTGGTAGGTCTTAAACAAATCTAATTTGAAACAAAAGTATACACCTCACACACATGGTTATGGGCTTAAAGAAAGAAGACACCTGTACCATGTCAGATATAGAGTTGAAATGTATTACATTTTGAGTTTGCATCCAAATATTACACTTTATATACATCACTTCCACTTTGAAGATGCAAAATATTTTTTCTTGTGAAACAAACAAGAAATAAGACAAAAAAACTGAAAAGTTTGGATGGGTTCTGCTGGTTGGATGGGTTCTGCTGGTTGGATGGGTTCTGCTGGTGTACAGCAATCTTTAAGTCATACCACAGATTCTCAATTGGATTGAGGTCTGGGCTTTGACTAGGCCATTCCAAGACATTTAAATGTTTACCCTTAGATCACTCAAGTGTTGCTTTAGCAGTATGCTTAGGGTCATTGTCCTGCTGGAAGGTGAACCTCCATCCCAGTCTCAAATCTTTGGAAGACTGAAACAGGTTTCCCTCAAGATTTTCCCTGTATTTAGTGCCATCCATCATTCCTTCAATTCTGACCAGTTTCCCAGTCCCTGCCGATGAAAACCATCTCCACAGCATGATGCTGCCACCACCATGCTTCACTGTGGGGATGGTGTTCTCAGGGTGATGAGAGGTGTTGGGTTTGCGCCAGACATAGCGTTTTCCTTGATGGCCAAAAAGCTCAAATCTGACCAGAGTACCTTCTTCCATATGTTTGGGGAGTCTCCCACATGCCTTTTGGCGAACACCAAATGTGTTTACTTATTTTTTTTCTTTAAGCAATTTTTTCAATACATTTGAAAACAATTTTTGTCATTATGGGGTATTGTGTGTAGATGGGTGAGAAAAAATATCAATGTAATCCATTTTGAATTCAGGCTGGAACACAACAAAATGTGGAATACATCAAGGGGTCTGAATACTTTCTGAAGACACTGTACATAGAGCAGCAGTCTCTAAAGTCTCTGTGGTCCTCTGTAGCTCAGCTGGTAGAGCACGGCGCTTGTAACGCCAGGGTAGTGGGTTCGATCCCCGGGACCACCCATACGTAAAAATGTATGCACACATGACTGTAAGTCGCTTTGGATAAAAGCGTCTGCTAAATGGCATATTATTATTATTATTATTAAGGGGCACTGAGTAAATGTCAGGTCTGCTGAGCGCAAACTTGAACGTTGTGAAAATTCTGTGCAACTTCCAGCGACCGTTTACTGTGAACGCTTTAAGTTACAGTTTCAGACCGTGGTCAAGTAGACTACTGTGGCTGTTTGATCATAATGTAGGCCTACCAGAGTGGCCTACCATCAAAAACAATGGTGAAAAATGGACCACATAATTAAAATGACCAGTGTTCAATGACTATGTACATAGGGCAGCAGTCTCTAAGGTAATAATAATAATAATAATAATAATAATATGCCATTTAGCAGACGCTTTTATCCAAAGCGACTTACAGTCATGCGTGCATACATTTTTGTGTATGGGTGGTCCCGGGGATCGAACCCACTACCTTGGCGTTACAAGCGCCGTGCTCTACCAGCTGAGCTACAGAGGACCAAGGTGCAGGGTAGAGTACCTGGGTGGTAACAGGCTAGTAACAGTGACTAAGGTTCTGGGCAGGGTACTGGGCGGAGGCCGGCTAGTGATGACTGTTTAACAGTCTGATGGCCTGGAGATAGAAGCTGTTTATCAGTCTCTCGGTCCTAGCTTTGATTCACCTGTACTGTCTCCGCCTTCTAGATGGTAGCGGGTGAACAGGCCGTGGCTCAGGTGGCTGAGGTCCTTGATGATTTTCTTATCCTTCCTGTGACACCGGGTGCTGTAGATGTCCTGGAGGGCAGGCAGTGTGCCCCTGGTGAATCAGATGGCGTTCACAAAAAAATTGTTAATGGGAAAGTCCTCATTAAGTCCTTTTGGAGACATAGTTTAGACAGAAGGATTCTCTTTGCAATAAAAGTATATCAAATCAAATCAAATTTTATTGGCCACACGCGCCGAATACAACAGGTGCAGATGCTTACTTACAGCTCTTAACCAACAGTGCATTTATTTTTAATAAAAAAGTAAAATAAAACAACAACAAAAAAGTATAAAATAACAGTAGGGAGGCAATATATACAGGGGGGTACCGGTGCAGAGTCAATGTGCGGGGGCACCGGCTAGTTGAGGTAGTTGAAGTAATATGTACATGTGGGTAGAGTTAAAGTGACTATGCATAAATAATTAACAGAGTAGCAGCAGCGTTAAAAAGATGGGGTGGGGGGGGGGGGGGGGGGGGGGGGGGGGGGGGGGGGCAGTGCAAATAGTCCGGGTAGCCATGATTAGCTGTTCAGGAGTCTTATGGCCTGGGGGTAGAAGCTGTTGAGAAGTATTTTGGACATAGACTTGGCGCTCCGGTACCGCTTGCCGTGCGGTAGCAGGGAGAACAGTCTATGACTAGGGTGGCTGGAGTCTTTGACAATTTTGAGGGCCTTTCTCTGACACCGCCTGGTATAGAGGTCCTGGATGGCAGGAAGCTTGGCCCCAGTGATGTACTGGGCCGTACGCACTACCCTCTGTAGTGCCTTGCGGTCGGAGGCCAAGCAGTTGCCATACCAGGCGGTGATGCAACCAGTCAGGATGCTCTCGATGGTGCAGCTGTAGAATTTTTTGAGGATCTGAGGACCCATGACGAATCTTTTCAGTCTCCTGAGGGGGAATAGGCTTTGTCGTGCCCTCTTCACGACTGTCTTGGTGTGTTTGGACCATGATAGTTCGTTGGTTATGTGGACACCAAGGAACTTGAAGCTCTCAACCTGTTCCACTACAGCCCCGTCGATGAGAATGGGGGCATGCTCAGTCCTCTTTTTTTTCCTGTAGTCCACAATCATCTCCTTTGTCTTGGTCATGTTCAGGGAGAGGTTGTTATCCTGGCACCACATGGCCAGGTCTCTGACCTCCTCCCTATAGGCTGTCTCATCGTTGTCGGTGATCAGGCCTACCACTGTTGTGTCGTCGGCAAACTTAATGATGGTGTTGGAGTCGTGCCTGGCCATGCAGTCATGGGTGAACAGGAAGTACAGGAGGGGACTGAGCACGCACCCCTGAGGGGCCCCCGTGTTGAGGATCAGTGTGGCAGATGTGTTGTTACCTACCCTTACCACCTGGGGGTGGCCCGTCAGGAAGTCCAGGATCCAGTTGCAGAGGGAGGTGTTTAGTCCCAGGATCCTTAGCTTCGTGATGAGCTTTGAGGGCACTTTGGTGTTGAATGCTGAGCTGTAGTCAATGAATAGCATTCTCATGTAGGTGTTCCTCTTGTCCAGGTGGGAAAGGGCAGTGTGGAGTGCAATAGAGATTGCATCATCTGTGGATCTGTTGGAGCGGTATACAAATTGGAGTGGGTCTAGGGTTTCTGGGATAATGGTGTTGATGTGAGCCATGACCAGCCTTTCAAAGCACTTCATGGCTACAGACGTCAGTGCTATGGGTCGGTAGTCATTCAGGCAGGTTATCTTAGTGTCCTTGGGCACGGGGACTATGATGGTCTGCTTGAAACATGTTGGTATTACAGACTCAGTCAGGGACATGTTGAAAATGTCAGTGAAGACACTTGCCAGTTGGTCAGCACATGCTCGGAGAACACGTCCTGGTAATCCGTCTTCCCCTGCGGCCTTGTGAATGTTGACCTGTTTAAAAGTCTTACTCACATCGGCTACGGAGAGCGTGATCACATAGTCATCCGGAACAGCTGGTGCTCTCATGCATGTTTCAGTGTTGCTTGCCTCGAAGCGAGCATAGAAGTGGTTTAGCTCGTCTGGTAGGCTTGTGTCACTGGGCAGCTCGCGGCTGTGCTTCCCTTTGTAGTCTGTAATAGTTTTCAAGTCCTGCCACATCCGACGAGCGTCAGAGCCGGTGTAGTACGATTCAATCTTAGTCCTGTATTGACTCTTTGCCTGTTTGATGGTTCGTCGGAGAGCATAGCGGGATTTCTTATAAGCGTCCGGGTTAGAGTCCCGCTCCTTGAAAGCGGCAGCTCTACCCTTTAGCTCAGTTCAGATGTTTCCTGTAATCCATGGCTTCTGGTTGGGGTATGTACGTACGGTCACTGTGGGGACGACATCATCGATGCACTTATTGATGAAGCCAGTAACTGATGTGGTGTACTCCTCAATGCTATCTGAAGAATCCCGGAATATGTTTCAGTCTGTGCTAGCAAAACAGTCCTGTAGTTTAGCATAGTTTAGCATCTGCGTCATCAGACCACTTTTTTATTAACCGAGTCACTGGTGCTTCCTGCTTTAGTTTTTGCTTATAAGCAGGAATCAGGAGGATAGAGTTATGGTCAGATTTGCCAAATGGAGGGCGAGGGAGAGCTTTGTATGCGTCTCTGTGTGTGGAGTAAAGGTGGTCTAGAGTTTTTTTTCCTCTGGTTGCACATTTAACATGCTGGTAGAAATGAGGTAGAACGGATTTAAGTCTCCCTGCATTAAAGTCCCCGGCCACTAGGAGCGCTGCCTCTGGATGAGCGTTTTCCTGTTGACTTATGGCCTTATACAGCTCATTCACTGCAATCTTAATGCCAGCATTGGTTTGTGGTGGTAAATATCAATGTCCCCTCCTCGTCTCGGTACTTCGACATGCTCGATACCCATGTACTTCAATGAGGAAACATTGTGTCTGGCAGTCATAAAGTGCATAGCGACTGGACTTTTGGGGTCTTGGTTTCTGATGCTACTTCTATGTTCGGAAATGTGTGTCTTGAGTGCCCGGCACATTTTACCCACACAGGCCAGGCCACAAGGGCATGTCAATAGGTAGACTACGTTCTTTGTAGCACATGTTATAATACCCTTAATTTTGAAAGGTTTTCCTGTCAAAGGTGTGGCATTTGCTCGTGAAATTACACTGTGGGCAACGTGCACACCTGTAATTACCCTCTTGGACATGGTCAAGGAAAGTATCAGGGTTTTTTTTGGGGGGGGGGGGGGCAAATCTGACCTTACAACCATCTGTCTGATGTTAGGGGGGCGTTTGTACACTATCCGGGGAGGGTGTTTAAAAATTGTGGATAGTCTGAAGTCTGTGTTCAGTACATGCCAGGGCCCTCACCTCCTCCCTGTAGGCTGTCTCATTGTTGGTAATCAGGCCTACCACTGTTTTGTCGTCAGCAAACTTGATGATTGAGTTGGAGACGTGCGTGGCCACGCAGTCATGGGTGAACAGGGAGTACAGGCGAGGGCTGGATATGCACCCTTGTGGGGCCCCCATGTTGAGGATCAGCGTAGTGGAGGTGTTGTTGCCTACCTTCACCACCAGGGGGCGGCCCGTCAGGGAGTCTAGGTCCCGAGCTTAGTGATGAGCTTGGAGGGCACTATGGTGTTAAAGGCACAGCTGTAGTCAATGAACAGCATTCTGACATAGGTATTCCTCTTGTCCAGATGGGATAGGGCAGTGTGCATTGTGATGGAGATTGCATCATCCGTGGATCTATTGGGGCGGTAAGCAAATTGTAGTGGGTCTAGGGTGTCGGGTAAGGTGGAGTTGATATGATCCTTAACTAGCCTCTCAAAGCACTTCATGATGACAGAAATGAGTTCTACGGGGCGATAGTCACTTAGTTCAGTTAAGTTTAGCCTTCTTGGGTACAGGAACAATGGTGGACATCTTGAAGCAAGTGGGGACAACAGACTGGGATGGGGAGAGATGGAATATGTCCGTAAACACTTCAGCCAGCTGGTCTGCAAGGGCCGGCAGCCTTGCAAGGGTTAACACGCTTGAATGTCTTCCTCATATTGGCCACGGAGATCGGGAGTCCTCCACGTCGGCAGCTGGGTGTTGTTTTCCTCGAAGCAGGTGAAGAAGGTGATTACTCACAACGGTCTATATCCAAAAAATTCATGAAAACAAAAATGTGCTTTTTGGTCTTAATTTAAGGTCAGGTTTAGGCATAAGGTTAGCAGTGTGGTTAAAGTCAGGTTTAGGTATAAGGTTATCAGTGTGGTTAAGGTTAAGGTCAGGTTTAGGCATAAGGTTAGCAGTGTGGTTAAGGTCAGGTTTAGGCATAAGGTTAGCAGTGTGGTTAAGGTTAGGTTTAGGCATAAGGTTAGCAGTGTGGTTAAGGTTAAGGTCAGGTTTAGGCATAAGGTTAGCAGTGTGGTTAAGGTTAAGGTCAGGTTTAGGCATAAGGTTAGCAGTGTGGTTAAGGTCAGGTTTAGGCATAAGGTTAGCAGTGTGGTTAAGGTCAGGTTTAGGCATAAGGTTAGCAGTGTGGTTAAGGTCAGGTTTAGGCATAAGGTTAGCAGTGTGGTTAAGGTTAAGGTCAGGTTTAGGCATAAGGTTAGCAGTGTGGTTAAGGTCAGGTTAGGTTTAAAATCACATTTTAAGAAGATAAACTGTAGAAATAGGCAGGGTTTATGACAGCTAGTGACGACTCCGGCTTTGTGTGTGTGATGTGGGGTGAGCGGTGTGTGATGTTACTGTTCCACACCTCAGCGCTGTGCTGAAACACCATGGCATTATGGGATGGATCCACAGGGCCTGTAAACAACAACACACTGAGGTTCCATCCCATATTCCCTACATGCACTAGTCAAACGTAGTCCAGAGCCACTTACAGTTAGTGAGTGGATACATTTTTTCATACTGGCCCCCCGTGGGAATCGAACCCACAACCCTGGCGTTGCAAGCGCCATGCTCTACCAACTGAGCTACAGGAGGCTGCACTATATAGGGAATAGGGTGCTATTTTGATACGAAGCCTGACACAAGCAACACAACACTGACTCACTCACAGACAGACAGACAGACAGACAGACAGAAGACTGTTGAGGACTGTTATTATGACTATAGAACGATGCCTGTAATCAATCAGCCTGTTGTTGTTGTTAGGTTCTGCCAGTGAAATGGACAGGGGCGTGGTGGGGGGAGGGGGGACAGGATGTGGGAGATGGTAGAGGTCAGGGAGAAAGGAGCCAACACTGAGTCACCCAGACAGACGGACAGGACTGTTATTATGACTGTAAAAATATGGATGTAGGGACTGTAATCTGCCTGTTGTGAGGTTTGGGGGAGAAGGATAAGACTTGGGAGAGATGGTAGAGGTTAGGGAGAGACGGTAGAGGTTAGGGAGAGATGGTAGAGGATAGGGAGAGATGGTAGAGGTTAGGGAGAGATGGCAGAGGTTAGGGAGAGATGGCAGAGGTTAGGGAGAGATGGTAGAGGTTAGGGAGAGATGGTAGAGGTTAGGGAGAGATGGTAGAGGTTAGGAGAGATGGTAGAGGTTAGGGAGAGATGGTAGAGGTTAGGGAGAGATGGTAGAGGTTTGAGGAGAGATGGTAGAGGTGAGAGAGACGGTAGAGGTTTAGGGAGAGACCGGTAGAGGTTAGGGGCGAGATGTAGAGGTTTGGAGCATGGTAGAGGTTTACGGAGAGATGTGTAGAGGTTCCAGAGAGATTGTTTATAGGTTCCCGGAGAGATGGTAGAGTTAGGGAAGATGTAAGGTTAGGGAGTATACGGTAGATTTAGGGAGAGATGGTAGAGGTTACACGCGTGGTAGAGAGTTTGGGTAAGATGGTAAGGTTAGGTGAGAGAAACTTGGATTTAGTGGAAGATGGTAGAGGTTCCGAGAAGATGGTAGAGGTTACGTGAAGACGGTAGCACGGTTCCAGATGATGGTAGCCGGTTAGGGAAGATGGTTAGGTTCTGGCGAGATGTTTAGCGGTTGAGGGGCGATGTTACTTGTTCCGAAGATGGTACGGTGAGGGCGCGCTTGTACCAGTTTTCAGGGAAGACGGTTGAGGTTAGGCTCATATGTTTAGAGGAATAGGGAGGATGGTAGCGGTTAGTGCACTCTTGCAGACGTTTCAGGGCAGGATATAGGCAGAGTTAGGGAGCGATGTAGCGGTTAGGGATGCGCTGGTTAGAAGGTTAGGGAGAGATGTTAGCAGGTTCCCTCGCGCTGGTAGAGAGTGAGGTGCAGAGACTTGTAGATGTTAAGGGAAGATGGTAGAGGTTAGGGAGATACTTACGGTTAGGAGCGATGGTATCGGTTAGGTTCGAAGGTATACGGTTCGGTAGCAGTTGGTAGCAAGGTTACGGGAGCTGATTGTAGCGGTTAGGGAGAGTATTTGGTACGCAGGTTCTGGATATCTGGTGAGTTTTACGGATCAGTGTAGAGGTTAGGGAGAGACGGTATAGGTTTAGGTAGCATGAATGTTACAGTTCGGGAGAGATGTAGCGGTGAGAGAATGGTAAGTTGAGAGAGACGGTAGACGGTTAAGGGCAGAGATGTTAGTTAGGGAGAGATGGTAGAGGTTAGGAGAGATGGTATAAGGTTTCGGGAACGATGTTAGATGTTAGGAGAGATGGTAGTTTAGGGAGAGTGGTTAGAGGTTAGGAGCCGCTGGTCCGAGTGTTACCGAAGATGTAGAGGTTACCAGAGGATTGTAGAGGTTAGGGGAGCCGTAGAGGTTAAAGAGAGATGGTAGAGGTTGGGAGACGACGGTATACGGTTTTGGGGAGACGATTGGGTAGAGCTTTAGAGAGATGGTTAGCGGTTAGGGCGGCCTGCGGTAGAGTGTAGGGACATAACGTTCGTTAGGGACTAGATGTGTGAGGTTACAGACGCAGCTGGTATAAGGTTAGAGGACGATGGGTAGAGGTTAGGGAGACGGTGGATTTAGGGATAGATGGTAGAGGTTACAGAGAGAATCGGTAGACGGTTTACGGAGAGCGGTATAGGTTACAGAGAGATGAGTAGAGGTAGGAAGATTGGTCGAGGTTAGGGGAGCCGGTAGATTTAGGGGAGATGGTAGAGGATTAGGGAGATATGGTTAGAGGTTCACGGCGAGATTGGGGGGTACGAGTTAATGGAACGCTGTAGAGGGTAGGGGATATGGTAGCGGTTCGGAAGATATGGACCGTATTTAGCGGGAGAATTGGATAGCGGTTCGGGAGGAGATGGAAAGGTTACAGAGACTGGTAGAGTTACGGCGACGACGGTAGGTATACGATGCAGATGTAGAGGTTGGAGAGCCCTGTTCGCGTTAGTGCGAGACGGTCGTTTCTGGCGAGGATGGTATAGTTCTGGCAGATGGATACGGTTCTGGCGCCGGCTGGTCTCGGTTAGGGCGAGATGGTATAGTTTACTGGGGAGCTGTCTTTTCCGGCGATGCATGGTCGATGTTAGGGCAGATTGGTGGAGGTTCCGGAGAGTATTCTATCCGATTTACTGAGAGCTGGTTAAGAGGTTTAGGGGGGGGGGGGGGGGGGCGGGGGAGGGGTGGCGACGCTCGTTTCGCGGTTAGGGAAGGGCAGTTGTAGGCGGTTGGGACAGCTGGTATGTCTGTTTCTGGCGCGCTTGGTAACTAGGTTCGGTGCGCGCATTGGTCGATGTGGTTTAGGGGCGCCGATGGTAATGTTCGGCTAGTATTGTAGGTCGAGTTAAGTGGCGAGATGTAGAGGTGTGGCGGGTGAGAGACATGGTATAGGTTATGGGACAGGGGGCTAACCCGACGTCCCCCATATCGGCAGAGGCAGTGAGAAGGACACGGGTTCTGGGAGAGTGCGGCCGGAGTTCAGGGTGTTGATGGGCGAAACTTGTGATTCACCGGAGATTACCAATTTAGATTGTCCTTGAGGGAGGGTTGAGGGTCAGTGGTGCCAGTGCAGCAGGCTTCGTTGTTTGTAGGCGCGCCCGGGCGCGCGCGCCACCGCGGTGCCACGCGCCGCGCTCGCTCTCCGCGTCGCGCTCTCTCGCCGCGCGCGCGACGGAAGGGCGCGCGCGCTCGAGAGAGAGAAGATAGCGCGACGGCCGTATAGCCGTATCAATGAGAGATCTAGTCCGCGACGCGCATCAGCACGATCCACTCGGTGCCCCTACGAGCCAGCGTAAGGGGAGAAAGAGAGGGATTTAGGATGCAGCTAAAACAGTGCCACCTACTGGAAGTGTTAGGAAATGCAGACACCCATGCTAACCCCAATCAGCGTTCATGTCCATGTCGCCCACGTTCCCCCTGGCACAGACGATCTGTTTTGATTTACATTTGTATTATCCGTCACTACCATGATTCAAGTAAAATCACAATAATTACACATGTTCCTGGATTTAGGTTGAAAAGTGTGGTGCAAAAAAAAAGACTAAATTCCCTCAAGTTGATGACTTTTCGCTAACCCAAACAGTTTTCCAGGTTGATTCAACATCATTACATGAATATTTTTGTTTACATTAAGTGAAAACATGTTGATTCAACATTCTTTTCTCAGTGGGGTTGCCAGACTTGTGGGTTCTCTGCATTTCCGATTGCTGAGTAAGCGAAGAGCATGGAAGCGGCCCAAATGGGAACCCTAGTCCCTATTAGTGCACTACTACTTTAGACCAGAGAATGGCACCCTATTCCCTATATAGTGCACTACTTAGACCAAGAATGGCACCCTATTCCCTATATAGTGCACTACTTTAGACCAGAGAATGGGCACCCTATTCCCTTTATATGCACTCCTTTAGACCAGAGAATGGCACCCTATTCCCTATTATGTGCACTACTTTAAGACCAGAGAATGCGCACCCTATTCCCCCATCATAGTGCACTACTTTGAGACCAGAATGGCACCCTATTCCCTTAGGTGCACTACTTAGACCAGAGAATGGCACCCTATCCCTATATAGTGGGCACTACTTTAGACCAACAGTAGAAGGGCACCCTATTCCCTATATAGTGCACATACTTTAACAAGAGAATGGCACCCTATTCCCTATATAGTGCACTACTTTAGACCCAGAGATGGCACCCTATCCCTATATGTGCACATACTTTAGACAAGAATGGCACCCTGTTCCCTATATAGTGCCACTTTAAGACCATATAATTGCACCCCTATTCCTATAGTAGTGACACTACATTAGACCAGAGAATGGCACACTATTCCCTACTATAAGTGCACTACTTTTTAGACCAGAAATGGCACCCTATTCCCTATATAGTGTCACTCTTGACCAGAGATGGAACCCTAATTCCCTATATGTGCACTACTTTAACAGGAATGGCACCCTAATTACCGATATAGTGCACTACTTTAGACCAAGAATGCGCACCCTTTCCCTATATATTCACTACTAGACCAGAGAATGGCAACCCTATTCCCTAATATAGTTGCTACTTTACCAGAGGAATGGCCCCCTATTCCTAATATATTGCACTACTTAGAACAGAAATGGCCCCTATCACTATATGTGCACTACTTTAACCCGAGAATGGCACCCATTTCCCTATATAGTGCACTACTTTTTAGACCATAGAAATGTCCCCTATTCCCTATATAGTACACTACTTTAGACCAGAGAATGGCCCCCCTATTCCTATATAGTGCACTACTTTTAGACCAAGATAATGGCCCACTATTCCCTTATATAGTGCACTACTTTAGACCAGAGAATGCAATAACCCTATTCCCGTATTATTGGCAGGCTACTTTTTAGACCAGAGAATGGTCACCCTTTCCTATATAGTGCACTACTTTAGACAAAAATGGCACCCCTATTCCCATATCTGCACTAAACTTTAAGGACCAGATAAGGCACCATATTCCCGATTAGTGCACTACGTTCGACCAAGAATGTGCAACCCTATCCCTATATAGTGCCTACTTTAGACGCAGAGAATGGCACCTATTCCCTCTAGAGGGCACTACTTTTAGGACCAAGAATGGCACCCATTCCTCTAGGTGCACTCTTTAGACCATAGATTGCACCCTATTCCCATATAGTGCACTAACTTTAACCAAGAGAATGGCACCCTAGTCCCTATATAGTGCACTACTTTAGACCGATAGAATGGCACACCCTATTCCCTATAATCGTGCAACTACTTTAGACCAGGAAGGCACCATTCCTTAAGTGCACTCCTTTAGACCAGAGATGGCACCCTATTCCCTATATAGTGCACTACTCTTAGACCATAGAATGGCACCCTATTCCCTATATATGCACTACTTTAACTAGAGAATGGCACCCTATTCCTAATATAGTGCACTACATTGACCCGAAGAGAATGGCACCCCAAGTCCCTATATAGTGCACGACATTAGACCATAGCTGGCAACCGCTATTCCCTATAGAGTGCACTACATTAGACCAAGACATGCAGCCCTATTCCCTAATAGTGCAACTACTTTAGCACCAGAGGAATGGCACCCTATTCCCCTATAAAGTGGCACTACTTTAGACCAGAGAATGGCACGCCGATCCCTATATATGGCAGCTACTTAACCAGAGAATGGCACCCTATTCCCTATATAGTGCACTACTTTTAGACCAGAATGGCACCCTATTCCCTATATATGCCTACATTAACCAGAGAATTGCACCCTGTAGTCCCTAATAGTGCCTACTTTAGACAGAGAATAGGGCACCCTATTCCCTATATAGTGCACTACTTTAGACCATAGATGCACCCCTATTCCCTAATAAGTAACCTACGTTTTAACCAAGAATGGGACCCTATTCCTTAGGTGCACTACTTTAGACCAGAGAAAGGGCACCCTATTCCCTATATAGTACACTACTTTAGACCATAGAATGGGCACCCTATTCCCTATATAGTAGGCACCACTTTTTGACCAGAGCCGAATGGTAACAGGGTTCCATTTTGGACACAGGAGCCTATTACGTCTGTCTACACAGGAGTAATTGTTCATGAGAACCTGAGGGTGTGGGTATGGAACATTTTGGTGTTTGTTTGTCGGGGATTAGGGGAGCACAGGTGGGTGGGTAGGGGGGTGGGGTGGTTCATCAATTCGAGTCTGTGACGCATCATCCCTGATAATGGCATACAACGATTCCTTGCTCAAACCAGGGATGTAGTTTTGGTGTGTGTGGTGTGTGTGTGTTTGTGTTTGTGTTTGTGTGTGTGTGTGTGGTTGTGTGTGTGTTTTTGTGGTGTGTGTGTGTGTGTGTGTGGTGTGTGTGTGTGGTGTGTTTGTGTGTGTGTGTGTGCGTGCGTGCGTTCGTGCGTGCTGTGCGGGCGTGCGTGCGTGCGTGCGTGCGCAGCGCGTGCGTGCGTGTGTGTGGGTTCGTGCTTGTTTTTTTTGGGTTGGGGTTTACGATAGGTTTGCTTGGTTACGGTGTTTACAGGTTAAGGTTAGAGTAAGGGTAAGAGTATTAGGGGTTAGGGTTAGGGGTTAGGGCAATCGGCCATTAGGCAATGGGCCTGAATTGTGTGTCCCCCGCAAAGTTAGCCGTACAAGACTGTGGGTGTGTGTGTGCTGTGGTTTGTGTGTGTGTGTGGGGTGTGTGGTGTGTGTGTGTGTGTGTGTGGGTGTGTGTGTGTGTGGTTGTGTGTTTGTGTGTGTGTGTGTGTGGTGTGTGTATGTGTGTGCGTGGGTGTTTTTAGGGTGGTGGGGTTCCCGATCGGGTGTTTTTTGGGTTCCGGTTCCGGTTCCGGTTTAGCGTCAGGGTCGCACGCTTAGGGGTGTAGGGTTGGGGTAGGGAAAACGGCATTTGAATGGGAGCTGTTATGTGTTCCCCCCGCAAGTTAGGCCGTACAAGACTGTGTGTGTGTGGTGTGTGTGTGGTGTGTGTGTGTGTGTGTGGGGTGTGTGTGTGTGTTGTGTGTATGTGTGTGCGGGGGTGTTTTTCGGGTTGGAGGTTAAGCGATAGGTTTTTCACTGGTTACGAGTTTACGGTTACCGGTTAGAGTCCGGGTACGGTTATTGGGGCGTTTGGTCGGTTCGGGGTAGGAACTCGGATTTTTGAGGATGGACTGATTGTGTGTCCCCAGCGAAAGTTAGCCGTAAAACTACTCTAGGTTGTGTGTTGTGGTGGTGTGTGTTTGTGTGTGTGTGTGTGGGTTGGTGTGTTGTGGGTGTGGCGAGCCCTGTGTGTGTGTGTGTAGTGTGTGGTGTGTGTGTGTGTGTGTGTCCCAGCGGGGGGTGGGGATCGTCCTCTCCCTCCTGTGTCCTACGACATTGGCGCGCTCACACTGGTCCTGCTTTGGGTTTCACAATCAGTGGAATTTGATGGGTGTCCCCTCAGGGGAAGTATCCGAACAGACCGGGAACGGGAACACACCGCATGCCTGTAGTACCTATATGAGATAGGATCCCCATCTCCACACAAAAACACAAAAGGCATGCATGAGGTAGACCATTCACATATTTACACCAATGTGTTGTGTAGTTTATTCTGGCTCTACTGGCAGTTGGACTTTCCCGCTCTGGTACCTTCACATGTTATCTAGTGGGACCTCGTTTCTCTGGCCCCCATGTCAACTGTTCTCTAGTGGGACTGGTTGCTCGGGCCCCGGGAGTAACATGTTATATGTGAACTTTCCTCTGGTCCCATTCACATGCGTTTCTATGGAACTTTCGTCTGGTCCCATTCAGAATTTATCTAGGGGCTTTTTCTCTGGCCCCTTCACATGTGGTATCTAGGGGGACTTTTCTCTGCCCCTTTCACATGTTATCTAGTGGGGGACTTTTGTCTGGCCCCATTCACATGTATCTAGTGGACTTGCTGGGGGCTGGCGCACCATTCACATGTTATCTTGGGACTTTTCTCTGGTCCCATTCACGTGTTTTATCTAGTGGGGACTTTTCTCTGGTCCAGGTGTACACTGTTATCTAGGGGAACTGGTTTTGCTGGGTCGCCATTCAACGTGGTCTATCTGTGGGACCTTTCTCGGTCCCATTATTCACAGGTTATCTACGTGGGACCTTTCTCTGGTCCCATTCACATGTTCTCTAGTGGGACCTTTCTCTGGTCCCAATTCACATGTATCTAGTGACTTTGTTCTCCTGGTCCCATTCACCATGTTATCTAGGTGGGACTTTTCTCTGGTCCCCCATTCACAGGTTATCTAGTGGACTTTTTCTCTGGCCCATTCCCACATGTTTATCTAGTGGGACTTTTCTTCTCTGGCCCATTCACACATTTGTTATCTAGTGGGACTTTTCTCTGGTCCCTTTCACATGTTATCTAGGGGGACTTTTTCTCCTGGCCCATTTCACATGTTATCTAGTGGGACTTTTTCTCTGGTCCCATTCACATGTTATCTAGTGGGACTTTTCTCTGGTCCCATTACATTTATCTAGGGGAAACTTTTCTCTGGTCCCATTCCCTGTATTAGTGGACTTTCTTTCTCTGGTCCATTCACAGGTTATCTCGTGGGACCTTTCCTCTGGTCCCATTCACATGTTATCTAGTGGGACCTTTCTCTGTCCAATTCACATGTTATCTAATGGGACTTTTCTCTGGTCCATTCACATGTTATCTAGGGGACTTTCCTCGGTCCCCATTCACATGTTATCTAGTGGGGACCTTTCCTCTGGTCCGCATTCACATGTTTATCTAGTGGACTTTTCTCTGGTCCATTCACATGTTCATCTAGTGGGACTTTTCTCTGGGCCAGTTCACATGTTATCTAGTGGGGACTTTTCTTTCTCTGTCCCATTTCCACATTTTATCTAGTGGGACTTTTCTCTGGTCCCATTCACATGTTATCTAGGGGACTTTTTCTCTGGTCCCATTCACATGTTATCTAGTGGACATTTCTCGGTCCCATTCACATGTTATCTAGTTGGGCCTTTTCTCTCTTTCTCTGGTCCCATTCACATGTTTTATCTATTGGGACTTTTCTCTGGTCCCCATCACATGTTATCTGAGTGGGACTGTTCTCTTTCCCATTCACAATGTTATCTATGGGACTTTTCCTCTGGGCCCCATTCACATGTTATCTAGTGGGACATTTTGGGTCCCAATTCCCATGTTTTATCTGCTAGTGGAACCTTTCTCTGGTCCCATTCACATGTTCTCTTAGTGGGACCTTCTCGGTCCCATTCACATGTTTCTATGTGGGACATTTCTCTGGTCCCATTCACATGTTTATCTAGTGGACTTTTCTCTGGCCCCCTCACATTTTAATATATTGGTGACTTTTCTCTGGTCCCATTCACATGTTATCTAAAGGGAACTGTTGCTTTCTCTGGTCCCATTCACATGTTACTCTAGTGGGCTTTTCTCTGGTCGCCCATTCACGGTTAGCTAGTGGGACCTTTCTCTGGCCCCCATTCACATGTTATCTAGTGGGGAACTTTTCTTTTTCCCTGGTCCCTTCCCATGTTATCTAGTGGGAACTTCTCTCTGTCCCATTCCAGTTATCTCTGGGACAGGAGAGATAGAAGATCCACCAAAATAGGGTTCGCCCCTGGGGGAGGGGGGAAGAGAACTTGGGCGAGGGGAGGGCAGGGAGAGGTAGAAGAGAGAGGAGGAGACTTGGGTTTAGGGGGAGGGGACGCGGGATATGCAGGGGTTGGTCAGCCCGGGGGGGATTGATGAAGACGTGTGGTGGCGGGGCCCGGGAGAGATGGAGGAGGCAAGATACGCTGGGTAAGGTGGCTTCTGAACGGGGGCGAATGTGTGGGGGGGGGGAAGTGACCACGGGGCAGGGCTGGTATGGGTGGTGGAGCGTGCCAGTAGCGCGGGTAGGAGGGAGGAGGAAAGCGGTGCGTGGGGGGGGAGAGGGGGGCAACAAGGATGAAATGGGAAAAAGTGCGGGAAAGTTGTAAAAGGAATGGTAGGACGAGAGGAGGTGCGATTGGAAAGGGGGGTGAGGAAAAAAGTGAGTGTAGGAGAAATGATGGATGGCAGAGATGAGGTCAAGGGGGGTAAAGCAAAAGTCGTTCCGGTGAAGGGTGGAAGAAACGTTAAATAGGGTGCAGGAGGGAGGGGGCGGGGCGTGGGGTAGGGCAGAGAGGAGGGGGGGAAGCGTCCGGAAGGCCCCGGGAGGGCGTGTGAGAGACGTTCGGGTGAGGAGGTGAGGCAGGCTATGGGGGAGGGCCCGCGGGGCAGGGTCCGGTGGGGACGGAGGGAGAGGAGGGGGGAGGGGGATACCATTGGGAAAGAAAACGGGGCAGGCGTGGTCTGGTCGTATGGGAGAAGTGTTTGCTTCACGCTTGGAGGGGAAAATTGGGCGGCTACTGGCGAGTGGGGAGACGAGAGGGAGGGTCACAGACAGGGGAAGTAATGGTGGAAGGCTGGAGAAGGGAGGAGGAAAGGGGAAACGGAAGGCTTGTAAAGGGGGGGGTAGGGCGTGGGAGGGTAAAGTACTTAGAGGAAGGCGTGTAAGCGGCGGTGGGGGGGAAATAGGAGGTAAGGTGTGAGTGTGAGGATGGAAAGTTAGAGAGGAAGGTGGTACAAAGGGGGAAGAGGGGTGGGATGGGGTCGGGAGCTGGTCTTACAGGTGCTAGGGCTAGATATCTCACTTCTTCGGCCTGCCTTTCGGCTGCTGCGGCCTATTCGCCGCCTGGATGGCATGATGTGCGGTTAAACGGGAGCGGAGGGGGTGGGTCAAGGCCATGATGATGCTGGGCGCGCCGCTCAGAAAGGGGAGGGGGCTGAGAGGGCATAGGGGGGGTGTGAGGTAGAGAAAGGGAGGTATAATGCGGGACCGGGGGAGGATGGGAGTGAGGGGGAGAGAGTATAGGGGAGCGGATTGAAAAGGAGGGGAGCGGGTGGGAGAGCGCAGGTGAGAGCGCGTGACGTCAGGTCCGTGGAGGGGGGCGTGAGCGGGAAATAGTCTGGGGAGTCGGAAACAAGGGGGGGATGAGGAAGGTGTGGGGGGGACGAAGATGTGATGGGAGAAAAAGGCCGCGGAGGCCCCGGGGGGGTGCCGGAGTGCGATGTGGAAGAGGGAGCGGTGAGGGGGGTGGTGTTAGGCGGGGAACAGGGGGCGGTGTGGAAATGGGGGTGGAAACAGGGGGGGGAGGGAGGGGTGGGGGGAAAAACGGAGGGACCTGGAGGGAATGGTAGGGGAAGAAAAGATGATAGGTATGGCGAGGCAGGGAATGGTTAGGGGCAGGGGGGTTGGGCAGCAGGAAGGGACGGGGATGACCAAACAAAGGGGCGGAAAACACTGAGGGAGAAAGAAAGGGTTAAGAGGGGGGGTAGGGGGATGAGGATGGAGGCTGAGAAGGGGAGAGACGGGTCATGGTTGACAAATAATAGCAGGGGAAGAGGATGGGCGAAGGGACAGAGTGGGCGAGAAAGAGAGAGTCCCAAGTGTCGGTGATGAGGGGCTCGGAGAAGACGACAGAGGGGCGAGATGGAGAAGGGCCAGGGGGGCGGGGGGGAGGGGACAGAGGGGGAAGAAGCGATGCTAGGGGGAAGCACGGGGAGAGGCGCAATGCGGGTATCGGAATAGTGGGGGAACGAGGGTGGGGAGAGGCGGGCAGAACGGTTGAAGGGGCGAGCGGGGGGGGGGGTAGAACGAGCTAGGGGGCTTTGGTTTAGATAGATCCATGGGAAGAGGCAGGCACGTCGAGAATGGGGGGTCGGGCAATAAATTGGGCGGTGCATGGCTGGCGTCATGCGCGGAGAGGGGGTGGAGAGGGCCCGCGAGGATGCAGGAGGAGGCAAGGAGTGTGGTTTGGGGCGGGTGAGGGAACGAGGGGAGAGTACCCCCCCCCACCCCACAATGGGAGGCGGGAGGGACGGAAATGGCGATGGGGGAGGTCTAAGGATGTACGGGGAGTGAAAATAAAGAGGTTAAGGGGGCAGGTGGGGAGTGATGGGGCCAAAAGGTGAAGTAAGGGTGGGGGAATGGAGGGGTAGATATATGAAGGGACGTCGAGGTGGGAAAGTGCAGAAGGTGGGGTCATGTTGACAAATACTTGGGGGAAGGGAACAAAGGCGGGCCGGGGAGAGCAAGGTTGTGACCCAAGGCAGGGGGGGGGCTGGGGGTTGCAGGTTTTGTTCTCTGGTTCCCATTCACAGGTTATCTAGTGGGACCTTTCTCTGGTCCCATTCACAGGTTATCTAGTGGGACCTTTCTCTGGTCCCATTCACAGGTTATCTAGTGGGACCTTTCTCTGGTCCCATTCACAGGTTATCTAGTGGGACCTTTCTTCTCTGGTCCATTCACATGTTTATCTAGTAAGGACTTCTCTGGGTCCAATTCACATGTGAATCTAGTGGGGGACTTTTTCTCTGGTCCCATTCACATTATCTAAGGGAACTTTTTCTCTGGCCCATTCAACATGTTATCAGTGAGGACTTCTCGGTCCCATTTCCATGTTATCTAGTTGGACTTCTTTCTCTGGTCCCATTTCCATGTTATCTAGTAGACCTTTCTTTCTCTTGTCGCCATTCACATTTATTAGTGGGGACTTTTCTCTGGGTTTCTCTGGTCCCATTCACATGTTATCTAGTGGGAACTTTTCCTCTGGTCCCATTCACAGTTTCCTAGTGGGACCTTTCTCTGTTCCCATTCACAGGTTTATCTATTGGGACCTTGTCTCTGGTCTCCATTCACATGTTATCTATAGGACCTTTCTCTGGTCCCATTCACATGTTATTAGTGGGACCTTTCTCTGTCCCATTCACATTTGTAATCTAGTAGGACCTTTCTCTGGTCCCATTCACACAGTTATCTATGGGACCTATTCTTCGGTCCCATTCACAGTTTCTAGTGGTACTTTCTTCTCTGTCCATTCACAGGTTATCTGTGGACCTTTCTTCTCTGGTCTCAATTCCACATGTTGAATATCTAGTAGGACCTTTTCCGCTGGTCCCATTTCACCATGTTATCTAGTGGGACTTTTCTCTGGCCCATTCACAATGTTATCTAGGGAACTTTTCCTCCTGGTCCCATCACATGTTTATCTAGTGGGACTTTCTCTGGTCCCATTTCACATGTTATCTAGTGGGACCTTTTCTCTGGTCCGCATTCCATGTTTATCTAGTTGACCTTTCTCTGGTCCCATCAACATTTATACTAGTGGGACCTCTTCTCTTGTCCCATGCACAGTTATCCTATGGGACTTTTCTTTCTCTTGTCCCCCATTCACATGTTATCTCTAGTGGGACCTTTCTCGGTCCCATTCATCAGGTTATCTATGGGACCTTTCTCTGGTCCCATTCACAATGTTATCTATAGGACCTTTCCTGGGCCCATTCACTGTTATCTTAGGTGGGCCTTTCTCGTCATTCACATGTTATCTAGTGGGACTTTTCTCTGGTCCCATTACACATGTTATCTAGTGGGCTTTTCTTTTCCTCTCTGGTCCCCATTCCACGGTTATCTAGTGGGACCCTTTCTCTGGTCCATTCACATGTTATCTAGTGGGACTTTCCTCTGGTCCCATTCCGGTTTTCTAGTGGTACCTTTCTTCTGGTCCCATCACATGTTATCTAGTGGGACTTTTCTTCTGGTCCCATTCACTGGTTATCTAGTGGGACTTTTTCCTCTGGTCTCCATTCACATGTTATCTAGTGGGACTTTGCTCTGGTCCCATCACATGTTAGCTAGTGGGACTTGTCTTCTCCTGGGCCCCATCTCACATTTTATCTAGTGGACTTTCTTGGTCCCATTCACAATGTTAATCTAGTAGGACCTTTCTCTGGTCCCATTCCACTGTTATCTAGTGGGACTTTTCTCTGGGTCCCATTCAGATGTTATCTAGTGGGACTTTTCCTTTCTCTCTGGCCCCATTCACTGTTATCTAGTGGGCATTCCTTTGGTCCCTCACATGTTATCTAGTGGAAACCTTTCTGCTGGTCCCATTCACATGTTTCTTAAGTGGGACCGTTTCTCTGGTCCCATTCACAGTTATCTTTATCTAATTTGGACATTTCTCTGGTTCTCTGGTCCCATTCACATGTTATCTAGTGGGGATCTTTTTCTCTGGCCCCCATTCAACATGTTATCTAGTGGGCCTTTCTCTGGTCCCATTCACATGTTATCTAAGGGACTACTTCTCTGGTCCCATTCACATGTTATCCTAGTGGGACTTTTCCTCTGGTCCCATCAACAAAGGTTATCGTAGTGGGACCTTTTCCTGCCCCTTCACATGTTATCTAGTGGGGAAGTGGGACTTTTCCTTCTGGTCCCATTCCCATGTTATCTAGTGAACTTTCTCTGGTCCCATTCACAGGTTATCTAGTGGGACTTTTCTCTGGCCCCATTCCCATTTTATTAGTGGGACCTTTCTTCTCTGTCCATTCACAGTTATCCGTAGTATGACCTTTCTCTGGTCCCATTCCCATGTTATCTAGTGGGGACTTTTCTCTGGTCCCATTCACAATGTTATCTAGTGGGACTTTTCTCTGGCCCCTTCACATGTATCTATGGGACATTTCCTTTGGTCCTTCACATGTATCTAGTGGAACCTTTCTTTCTCTGGTCCATTCCTGTTTATCTAGTGGACCTTCTATGGTCCCATTCCCACATGTTTCTAGTGGGACATTTCTCTGGTCCCATTCACATGTTATCTGTGGGACTTTTTCTCTGGCCCCATTCACATGTTATCTAGTGGGACTTTTCTCTGGTCCCATTCACATGTTATCTAAGGGAACTTTTCTCTGGTCCCATTCACATGTTATCTAGTGGGACTTTTCTCTGGTCCCATTCACAGGTTATCTAGTGGGACCTTTCTCTGGCCCCATTCACATGTTATCTAGTGGGACTTTTCTCTGGTCCCATTCCCATGTTATCTAGTGGGAACTTTCTCTGGTCCCATTCACAGGTTATCTAGTGGGACCTTTCTCTGGTCCCATTCACAGGTTATCTAGTGGGACCTTTCTCTGGTCCAATTCACATGTTATCTAGTAAGGCCTTCTCTGGGTCCAATTCACATGTTAATCTAGTGGGACCTTTCTCTGGTCCCTTCACTGTTATTAAGGGAACTTTCTCTGTCCCATTCACATGTTATCTAGTGGGACTTTCTCTGGTCCCATTCACATGTTATCTAGTGGGACCTTTCTCTGGTCCCATTCACATGTTATCTAGTAGGACCTTTCTCTGGTCCCATTCACATGTTATCTAGTGGGACTTTTCTCTGGTCCCAATTCACATGTCTCTAGGGAGCTTTCTCTGGCCCATTCACATGGTTATCTAGTGGGACCTTTCTTCTTGTTGGTCCTCATTCACAGGTTATCTAGTGGACCTTTCTCTGGTCCCAGTCACATGTTTCATCTATAGGACCCTTTTCTCTGGTCCCATTCAACATGTTATCTATGGGACTTTTCTCTGGTCCCATTCACTGTTATTATGGGACCTGTCCTGGTCCCATTCACACGGTTTATCTAGTGGACCTTTCTCTGTCCCATTCACCGTTATCTAGTGGGACCTTTTCTCTCTCTGGTCTCCAGTCACAGGTTATCTAGTGGGACCTTTCTCTGGTCCAATTCACATGTTATCTAGTAGGACCTTTCTCTGGTCCAATTCACATGTTATCTAGTGGGACTTTTCTCTGGTCCCATTCACATGTTATCTAAGGGAACTTTTCTCTGGTCCCATTCACATGTTATCTAGTGGGACTTTCTCTGGTCCCATTCACATGTTATCTAGTGGGACCTTTCTCTGGTCCCATTCACATGTTATCTAGTAGGACCTTTCCTCTGGTCCGCATTCACATGTATCTAGTGGGGACCTTTCTCTGGTCCCATTCACATGTTATCTAGTGGGACTTTTCTCTGGTCCCATTCACATGTTATCTAGTGGGACCTTTCTCTGGTCCCATTCACAGGTTATCTAGTGGAACCTTTCTCTGGTCCCATTCACATGTTTATCTAGTAGGACCTTTTCTCTGGTCCCTTCACATGTTATCTGTGGGACTTTTCTCTGTCCGCATTCACATGTTATCGTGGACTTTTGCTCTGTCCCATTCACATGTTATCTCGTGGGACTTTTCTTTTCTCTTGGTCCCATTCACAGGTTATCTAGTGGGACCTTTCTCTGGTCCCATTCACATGTTATCTAGTGGGACTTTCCTCTGGTCCCATTCACGGTTATATCTATGGGACCCTTTCTTTCTCTGGTCCCATTCACAGTTATCTATGGGACTTTTCTCTCTGGTCCCATTCACCATGTTTATCTTGGTGGACTTTTCTATTTCTCTGGTCCATTCACATGTTACTAGTGGGACTTTTCCTCTGGTCCCATTCACATGTTATCTAGTGGGACTTTCTCTGGCCCCATTCACATGTTATCTAGTGGGACTTTCCTCTGGTCCCATTCACATGTTTATCTAGTAGGACATTCTCTGGTCCCCTTCACATGTTAATCTAGTTGTACTTTTCTCTGGTCCCATTCACATTTATCTCGTGTGACTTCTCTGTCCCATTCAGCATGTTATCTGTGGGACGTTTCCCTCGGTCCCATTCACATTTAATCTAGTAGGACCTTCTCTGGTCCCATTCACATGTTATCATCTATGTGGGACTTTCTCTGTCCCATTCACATGTTATCTAGTGGGACGTTTCTCTTGTTCCCCATT